TATATATATATATATATATATAAGAATTGCCCTCGAATTAATATTTGTAGTTTGGAATACTGCTATTGAGGGAATAATATTTTGAAACACGGAAAAAGTTTTAATGTGAAACCTAGTTACACAACTGCACATATCCTTTTTGTGAAGCTTTGTACAAAAACCGCGAAACAGACAAACATATGTATTTTCTTCCTTGCATTAAAATAACTATTAGAAAACATGATTAACAAATTTAGAAATAAGTTTTGGAAACTGTTTATTTTAAACAAATTGCCAAACCTGGTATCTATTCTTATATCATATATATATACAAACAAAATACCATTTTTTGAGGCCCGGCATAGTGGGTTTGAATCCCCGCTCCACCAAACATGGTCGCCCTTTCAGCCGTGGGGGGCGTTATAAAGTGATGGTCAATCCCACTATGCGTTGGTAAAAGAATAGCCCAAGAGTTGGCGGTGGGTGGTGATGACTAGCTGCCTTCCTTCTAGTCTTACACTGCTAAATTGGGGACGGCTAGCACAGATAGCCCTCGTGTAGCTTTGTGCGAAATTCAAAAACAAACAAAAAAACATTTTTTTGAACATTGCTAATATAAATAGTTTGAATACATTATGCTAAGACAACTTTGTGTCCTCACCGTGTTGTTATAATCCATATCACAACTTACTTCTGGTCCTGTTATATTTGATGCATCTCGGCAAAACATTGCAGTATACTTTCCATTGCAAAAAGCTCTATCATAAAGCTTTCATATCCAAAAGCAAAGCACATCGTTAGGCGCCTTGTTAGTGTAGTATCTCGAGGATTTTCTGCAAAGCATAGAGGTCCAGGCCCGCACAAAAAAAAAGGACTTTGGCGGATTTCATATGCAGTAGCGGCAATTTGACTATCTAGAATGAGACAGGATACAGATTTCACACAGAATACAAGCCACAATGGTTTACAGAACAAACAACAACATTCTATTATAAAATTCAAAGCAATACTGAAATGTACAGCGGAGCAAGTGATCACATAGGTGCAAAGAAAGAAAGAACGTGTGGCTAGCTAAGAGTGTCAAAAAATTTATTAAGTCAAAAAACCCTGCTTATGTGTCTTTTCTCCCCTCCCCCAGAATCTAGGCTATCACATAAAAGATAATCATAAAATGAGTGTGTTCCCAAGTTAAAATGTAACACAATAAAGTTAGTCCTCACTTTAACCTATATGAAATCCAAGCTCCCACTCGGATTTCACCACGACAATAATAATACATACTGTTACGTCTCCGTTTGTTAATTGATTTTTTTTTGTAACTTCGTTCCGACGAAATTCACGCGACA